GCGGATGAGAGCAAAATTTGCGTGACACTCATTCAACCCATAGAAGTTTGAGCTTTCCGACATTATTTGCAAATTGGGAAAACAAATTTACAATCTTGTGTAGGTTGGACAAATTAGGGTTCTGATACATTTGGGGGCTAAAATAAGGTGGATATTTATAGGGATGAATGAAATATGAGAAGGCGCCAAAGTAGTACAATTTCCCTCCTTTAAGCTGAAATCTAAATTTGACCAAAAATAAACAATGACATAAAAACAAGTGCTGTCAAGTGGTCCTGATTTTTCGTTTCGAATAAAACAAAAGCTACATAAAACCCATACATATCAAACCCATACAGAAGCTACATTAAACACGAGTTTCTACATTAAATATTCCAAAACAAAAAGTCAAAATACCCAAAAAAAAAGTCAAATTACCCAAAATTACTTACGGGTTTATAGTTGATTTAAGAATGTGTGGAGTTTTTGTTTCAACACAATTAATTTTTCTTGTTATTAACGCAACCCCAACCACCACTACCAAAGTAAATGCAACACATCATTAAACTTGGGTAGTTTAGTTTAATTAAATCTAAGCAATGCAGGTGCAACGTTGGTTGTAGCATTGGACAAAGTAATCTGAACGTTTTTTTTTTTTCAATTGCTTTTGTACAATGTAATAAAAAAACATGCATTCATCATTGCAATTGCTTTGAAAAAACATGCATTCATCATTGAATTTATGTGTCTTTAACAATGAATATTAATATAGATGGGCTACCAACTAGGGGCCTGTGCCATTATCTCCTCCGAATGGATCAAACCAATGAATTTGGATATCAATTCCAGACCGACCATTGTCGATGTAACTCGATACATATTTGCGTAATTCTTCAGTTATTGTAATTGGAATCTCATACGATTTTGTGGAATCATCAGCTGCACGGCCAAAGTATCTAGGCTCTGAATCTTCACACGGTGGTTCACCGGCACACTCCACAATATCGGACAGGGTATCAAAATTTATTTTACTCGGGTCGTATGTCTTACCATTAGATAGTTCAGCGCACCCATTCACTCTGCTAACGTAGAACCAAATTTTTTTTTCTATACATAAGATACAACATTTAAATATGTCAGTTGTAACGCCCCACTTTATTTTAAAATATTTACGAATTTATTTAAAAAAAATCAGAGTTAATTTTTCACAAATCTCGATTAAGTTTAAAATTCAAAGGGTGCTACTGATTTTACCAAGAGCAATTTATCCAACACACAAAAAGATCAGAATGAACCTACACATTTATCAAGATTCAAAATAACAATAAATAACAGCATAAAACCCAAAGGTTCAAATCCGTCCAACACTTTTCCAAAAACAATCTAGTTCAACCATAATTAGATAAACCATAACAAGTTCATAAATGGGGAAATAAATAATAGTCTTAAACAAAAGCAAGACCACCCACTCGCCTTGCCTCGTCACTCGCCAACTGCTTAACCTGCATCCGTGAAGAACAGGTGGGAGTGAGTACAGTTAAATATCGTACTCACACTATGCATATGAAAAACATCAGAATATGTTAGGATGGTATGGTCGCAGCATGAACTTAAACAATAATATCATCATGTCTCATCTATAGTCACATCAATGACCTAGTCTCATCAAAGACTCACTCATGTACATCTATGCTCATCAAATCTCAGCCATGCCATATTAGTGAAACATGGGAGTTCGTGCCACATCAATGACACGGCCTTCTCATAGGTCTTAATGAGATTTACCTAGCAAGGGTAACCGTATTTCATCATACGGGGACAACCGTACCGATGGCCATCAAGCTAACATCAATAGGCTACATGCTCACATGCATACATAGATCATACCGTTTTCACACATATTAAACACATATGCATAGTTAATTTTAGAATAACAACCCACCTGGATTTTCGGATTGATAATAACTCAAAGCAATGGAAGTAGGTCGAGGCTGGACTCCTCAATTACCTACATTCGTTGGGACTTGGTTTAGAATCTTATAAAGGCTTATCTTATTCTCTCTATTATACATATATTTAACTTTGAAAACTAGCTCGCTTGGCTTCGCCTTGCTTGCATTCTTTGAAAACATTTTATGTTTAAGTCTTTTCGGTTAATTGATAGTTCAGCTTGCTTAATATACTCAGCTAAGACATTCATGGATCACACATACTACATGGATCAAGAAATACATCACTTAGGTCATATAATCGTGCTTTTCGATGGTGCTTGCTATTTTCAGAATCAAACTAATGACTTTTTGTAAAACATCATATGTGCAGCGATTTTCAAATGAACACATCTAGCAGCACATAAGTCGTAATAACATGAAATCAGTGACATATGATTCTTAAGACACAAATCTGCAACTCTCATGAAAAACCTAAAATCAGACGAGGTCATTATCTACATGATAAATCAGCAAACATTCACATAAGGGTGCAGTCGAAAACATCCAAACAAGGTGACAGCATTTTGAGGATAACTCGAGCTATAGTCATGCTAAAAATATGAATCAGGTACTCATAGAAAGATTAGAAATAAAGCTACAATTTTTTTGAAGACAACTTAAGAAGATTCTGACATCGCCACATAGATAATTCTACAACATCACAAAACATTGCCGCAGTCAAGAAATGAAAATGGACAACTTACAGCACTTCAGTAAAACAACAATAACTCAAAGTTATAGAACTCTAAATCATACAAACTCAAAGCCTGAAGAAACTAAACAAGGAGTGATACAAATTTCATGAAGAGAATTTTTACATATATTTATGTTAAGGCCATCAATTTAGAGCATACATTCCATGCATATACACAACCATTGCTTAAAAATTCTGGGCACAAATCCAACTTAGAAAAATCATATAAAATCAACCGAAACTCCATTTTTCATAAGTCCAATTCGTACAGGGAGCTTGCAATATATAATACATTTTTCATGAAAAACATATTTTCATTCAGGTACGTTAAGATCATAAAAAATAGTCATGAACTAAGATCAAATTTTCTGCCCGAGTTTATCAAAATAGCATGCTCGTCCAACTTTGAAAATTCATATAAAATTCATTTCAACTCCAAATCACAAAATTACAAAACTTACTGAAACCTAACTCAGAGAACTACAAAACTCATGAAGAGAACTTGTCCAATAAACAACACCTTGGTCGACAAAAATAGAGCCTAACTGAGGCTCAAAAAATTGGGTTTTCATGGTTTAAACAACTTGAAACATTCGTACATCAACAAAGCATCGAAATCACACAAATTATATGTTAAGCAAGCCTCGATATCAATTCTTTAAGACGTAAAGATTTGACATAATGAAAACACATTGCCCGAGGTCCAACTCGGTCTTATTAAACACGATAGGACAATAAATTTATGATTTCACTTGATTTGTTACGTATTTTCGATTAATAATATCGAGCAACAACATTACAATATAGAATAAGTCATAATATCACATATCACGAAATGGAACGAGACGGGGTTTGAGCCTAAATACCGTTTTTGGGAACACGTTCGAAAAAGGAAACGAGGGAGGGTTGACGGAATCAGTGGCGCGTGTGGGATGACTCGGCAGCTTGCGCTTGGCTCGCGGCTCGTGTGATGGGGTTTCCTCGTCGCGCGTCCTTGCTGGTCGGACCCACGTGAACAGAGCTTCCAAGATTCTGGGCTCGATGATGGTGCCGGTTCACGCGAGCAACAAAAGTGATGGTCGTGAGACATATGGGTATTGGTTGATAGAATAATTCGTACTTGGCTATGAATTATTTTTGCGGATGAATGACAGTTCTTGAAGATGAATTTTCTTGCTATGATAGGAGGTTAAAATCTGGTCTGAACATGTGCTATATAGACGGGTGAATAGAGAAGAAAATGCTTGATTTAAGGATACTAATGAAACTTTAAAAAAAGGAGGTTACACAAAATTAGCAATTGAGTGGCAATCACTTGCGTGTCCAATTGCTATGAGTGGACAAGGATATTTGATTTGATCAAGGCAAAATTACAAAAAAGATACACTAAGTTGGGCGTTGTCAAGAAAAGAGACATTTTGTTGTCCCTCTCGGAAAAGACACACGAAGTTGGAATTTTCGTCTGAAACGATACATTAATCACCCCTGCGGGATAAAAATCTGACGTGGCCTGATTATCTTATTCCGTGGAATTTAAACTTTCGGTATATTCATGCGTGGAATTTACGTGGCCGACACCGTGGACAGGTGGCCTAATTTTGGAGGAAAATCCCAACACACCTGTACATCTCCCCCGCCCCTATTTCATTTCAATCGTGAAGAAAAAACCTAGATTATCTTCATTTCGATTTCGACCTCAATCACTCACATCATGAAGAAAAACTAACCTAGATTATCTTCCAGTTCAATCACTTACATCAACTTCGACCTTAATCAATCAACCACTGTCACAATGAAGAAAAAACTTGTTCGAAATTCGAATCCCTTTTTGAAGTTAGCAAGAGGCCTTCGTGTTTCCGACTGCGAGATTCAAATACGCCCCAGTGACAAAGAGACATTCCCAGCTCCCAGATATAGTATGTTAAATAATGGTTTTCTGTTTCTTCTTCCAATGAATTTACCATTTGTTAATTTTTTTTTCCTGAGAAAAGAGTCGATGTTGGGCAGTCACATGGTTGTGTATGGAATCTTGGACCATATTGTTTAATTTTAATTTTAACTTTGTCAGTCTACACTATTTTCCTTTCCTGGATGCTTTTTCATTGCAATTTTTATTGTTACTGCAGGTACAACTAGTAAATTCTTCACAGTTACCCTAGAATTTGGGGGTAAATTGATATTGGGAAAAAATATTCTGCATATCTAGGTGGGAGTAGAATATTGCTTGACTATGTGGATTATAAAATGGTCACACTTGCTGACTTTAAGTCTGTGGCAGAATTTAAAGGGTGCAAAAACCCTATGAGACTGCACACATATGTTGGTGGTGGGAGTTCATGTTACTTTCAACAGAGACTGATCTTGAGAGTGTGTGGCAAAGAGAAATGAACAACATTAGGGAGGTTAGTTTGTTTGTTGAAGAACTAAGTGAAAATACAGAAAGTGTTAATGCACCTGAAATTGAGAAGGGGGTTGGTGAAGATGATAGTGATGAAACTTTTGAGTGGTTGAATGATAGTGAAGTTGAAAAGTTGGATGACATCTTGTTTGATGAAAATGTGGATGAAGTTGAGGTTGAGGTTGGGGCTGAGGCAGAGGAGGGTGAGGTTAAGGATGAGCTGAGAAGGTTGAGGGTGAGGGTGAGAAAGGTGAGGGCGAGAAGTGTGAGGGTGAGGGTGAGAAGGGTGAGGGTGAGGGTGAGGTTGAGACTGAGCTTAGAGTTGAGAAGGGTGAGCTTGGGGCTGAGATTGGGGCTGAGAAGGTTGATGAGGGTGAGGAGAGTGTTGAAGATTTAAATCAGGTTGTGGATGATGTAACACCCCGCTTATCAGAGTAAATTTTTCGCAACTTTTACTTCGAAAATACTTAACTCTTTCGAAATCTTTTGCGACTAACTCGGGATGCTACTCAAACTCATCATCTTGAAAATCCGTTTATCTTTAAGCTTTTGTCTAATACTTCTTTAGACATAAATAAAACAGATTTCCTTTAAACTTGCATTTAAAATACCATAATCATATTTCTCATAATGGTAAAAACTTGAAATCTGAAATTCATTAAAATGCAAGTTCAATACTTAATGTGCATAGCGGAAATACTTGAAAACGTGGTTAATTATACAGACTGTTATAAATGTCCGTATCAAAGCTTGTCTTCATCTGAGTCCACGATCCACACCAACACTGCTCCACTCACACCTCCTCTTCGACCTGTTACCTGAAACTAAAACTCATGGGGGTGAGTAACGAATATGGATAATCATAAACCGGTATCTGATCGGTAACCAGAAATCGGTTCTGGTACTGAAACTTAAACTGGCCGATATCTGATCGGATACGTGTGCACACTCTGATGGATATTTCTAAGGCACCTAATGGCCTCCATCAGAACTTAGGATATAATCTCTGAGAACAAATTAATGCCTCCTCATCCTAAGGCGTAAAACTTAAACTGTAGGATATACTCTGAGACAACTGATGGTCTCCTCATCCCATATGACATCAATATCGTACTCAACGTGATACCCATTCAGGGTCCCCACCTTTTTGTCTTTGAAATCATTTGAAAAACGATAAGTGCTGTACTGGTACTGTATCTGCAAGTTACATCAAATATAAACAAATATACTAAGTACTATGCTCGTATACTCAATAAGAATTTTAGGATTATTAACTTATCCAAATCTTATAGAAATTCATTAAACTTACTTTTTTCTCAAGTTTATACTTAACTTCTCTTTTTACTTTTACTTAAGCTCAATTACTTAACCTTATAAATCATGTCTTCATAAACATCAATATGGTATTATAATTAGCATGTCATAACTCAAATGTGAAAATAACTATATTTCACATTATACTTGATTGAGTATTTAAACTTAAAACATGCTTACTTTTACCAACATCATCAACATGATTTATAACTTATCTTAATTTAACTTGATCAAATACTTAATTCATCATACATCATATTTTCCAATCTTTAGATATTGGTTTATACTAAATTTTCACTTAATTAACTTGAATGTGAAAATAATCTCAAGCCATAATCATCTTTTACTCATAACATTTAATCATGATGTTAATATGTCATACTTAATACAATCTTTATAAAATTGTATACTCAACATATTATACCAAAACTTCATCAAATTACTCATCACTTATATGAGAATTAATCATGATCATCTCATTTTAACAACTTAAACATTTCATGAATATTCTTGCATATATATACTTATCTTTACATATATGTTTTTTCTTATATTCATAACTTATTTATTTCTCATCTTTAAATTATAAAACTTAACAGTCATATTCTTAACTCATATTTAGACATGTCATAGAAATTTCATAATTTTATCATGCATATATCTCGACTTATTCAAGTTTAAAGTTGCTGCTGGAAACAAGTACATAAAATTCAGCTTGCATGATAAACTTTAAAAATTCATATCTTGAGTTATACTAAACTAAATGGCTTGATTCTTGATCCTATGTACTCCTCTTTTATACAAGAAATAACCATAGGAAGCATAGATTTCTAGATTTTTCATAGCTAGGTAAAAATCTCATCATAACTGAACACATATGACATATATATAAGCTGGAAATAACTTATTTTCTAGCATACTTATATTCATATAAAACTTTATTATCTAAGTCATATTAAAAACATTATTAAACACTTAATATCATCTACTAAACATGTAAAGTCATTATCAAAACATGTACATAAGCATGTAACTTTAAGATAAATAAATTACCTCCTTCTTGCTAGAGTAAAAACTTGATTATTTACTTCAAATTCTTCACTTCTCCAAATTTTCTACTACTTATTCTCTCTTACACTCTTATATAACTTTTGGTACTTAACTTTGGTGTGAGAACTCTGATTTTTAGGCCTCTGTTTATAGGCACAAATTGGCAAAACATCATAATGGAGTGAAGAAATGAACAAAATAAACAATTTAAACTTATAAACTTAATTAATCATAAACTATTTTATAATTAACTTGTATTCTTATCCAAACATAATTAATCATAAAAAATGGCGTTTACTTATAGCCATGAGTGAGCTTTTTGGTAGATAAAACTTATTCCACCAAGTTTAATAAAATTCTCATCAATTGTTGAAAAAAAATGCTAACTTAAAGACTTAGCAAAACTTTGTTGTGATTTTCTCATCTCATTCTCACCAATTGATGACCAAAATTTCGTGCTTAATGTGATGTAATTGATTCCATATATTATTGAAAAAATGTCACCATTCATCATATAAAAATCTTTGGAACAAAATAATAAAAATAATAAAAGTCATTTTTTTTATTACTTATGCATTTTCTTTCAAAATGGCTGATTTTTAAAACTCTTTTACTGAAAAGTAATGCTCATATATGGTCTTGGAACATGCTAATAAACCGAGAATAATACAATTTACGGAACTCAATTCGGACTTAAAACGAACGTTTACCGTAAAACTAAAAATTCTAAAATTTAAATTCTTTACTCACATTTTTTTTTTCAATTTAATGAACATATTGCTTCTTAGGATCTAATATAATTATCTTGAAATATTCTTCATTTAGGAATCACATTCGGACTTAAACCGAACGATTACCGTAAAATCGAAAATTCTAAAAATTTTGATTTCTATTAAAATAATTTAAATAGACTATAATGTCTAAATAAATTTTCTCACTTCTTTAAACATTTATAACTTAAATGTTCATGGATATTTAACCTTACTTCAAGACTTAACTTGTATCAACTTATGCTAAAACTCAATATTATGATCTTATCTTGATGACTTAAAAACTTAGAAAAATTCTAAGTATTTAATACTAAGGCTCGGCTATTTCTTAATGAAGTTCAACTCATGACTGAACATACTTGGTTTCAGTTCACTACTTATCTTAAACGATTAATCAAAATATACTCAATTTCGATTATTCGTCATCTTATATTAATTAATCCCGTCTTATAAATCCATTTATAAAAATAAACAGACCGGAATTAATTAATTTCTGAACTGGCTCGATTACTGAATAATATTGAACCGAGAGTACTTTCGACTTAAAGTCGATTTTTTAACTGAATAACTTAATAACTGGCTCGAAACTAGGAACGAGCATTAATAAAAGTAATTAGTTCATACTTAGAATAATTACTTTTATTAATTACTAAATGGGATATTACAATCTACCCCCCTTAAAACTATTTCCGCCCTCGGAAATACTGAAACAGAGATATATACCAACTATGTATATATATCATAACTCGAAATCTAGAAAAAACGAGTGCTAATATCAACTTTTCACTCCCCAGTGACATCGAACTCTATATGTGACAATTCCATTTTATACTAACGAGGGAATATCTCAATTCCTCAGCCAATGAACCTTCTGGTCCAAAACTTCTATCGGCTGGTCCTCGTAGGTTAAATCTTACTGAAACTCATTGTGCAAAAGCACATACTCTGGATCGCACACATACTCACGTAACATTGGTACGTAAAACTTTATGCACACTGGACAACTTTAGAGAAGAATTGATATTAAATACTTATCTGACTAACTATACGATACATTGCATACGATTTACCCACTACCCGGGGCCCTTCGGGTGCGGAACATCTATATGCATTGTACCTTAATGTCAATGTCACTTGTAATCATTAACAAGTCACATCTCCATTCTATACTAACATCTTACTATGCTAAACTTGCTTCTCATTCGAGAAACCTTTTTACTCAATATTACTATTGATATTTACTTCAACTTCTCCGACTTAACTATAGTCGAGAATTTCGTTGAAATTTCTGTACTGATGTGGAATAACTTGACCATTCTGTGGTCATACCATAATTCCAATCATTAAGGTAAACTTTATTTACCTTTAATAATTCAACTGCCATAATAATGTTGCAACATCTCACTTATTGCCGACATCTCAGATCTGATTTTGATTGCATTAAATGCATACAGCTGTGCATCTTCTGACATTCGATATAATTTAATCATACCTGATAACTTATCTCATACTCATCTTCCTTTTATAAACCAACATGGAAATCCTTCCATCTTCTTCAGCAATGGTTCGTTTCACCAATGGATATAGCACTGCTAAAAATTCGAAAATTCTATTCTTTCTCCCTCTTAATATCATAAAGAGAATTTATCGAGCTCGAGTAGAAAGATTGAGAATACTCATGCTCAATAATATCCCAAATGATATAAGATGGCTGATTGAAGCAAAAGTTCGTCTGTCTGGCGAATATCCCAATGCATACAAGTATCTGTCAGGTATGGGTAAAAGCACTTTTGCCAAGAAACGTAGAGCAAAAAAGAATAGGCGGTTGCTATAAATGTGCTCGCTGCAACTGTGACTCTCGCTGTACTTCTTTGGGCTTTGTCTCAATTAATCGAGAAGATAAAATAACTTTCATCAAGAATGGCTTGAGTAAGGAATCTCTGAATCAAACTATTCAGCAGATTATTGATACACATTCTAGTGGATATGTGCATCGAGAACTGATGCCTTTATGGCTTCTGTTCAAACATGAAGAAAAACTCTATAGTCTAGAAAATATTATTTCCAATGATCATGTTTGTCAACACTGTTCTTGATAGTACCGATGTACTGTATATAGATCTTATCGCTTCTGACAGATAAGAGTCATTTAAGACTCAACTACTTTCTTGTCGAGACTTTTCTTCTTTAAAAGGCGAATCTATCTTCATAGCCAAATACCTCTCATAATAAATGGCTACTGTTGAGTCTTCTCAAGGTTCTAAACTTCTTCAGCCCCTCAGAACTGTGTGCATTCTTGGTGGT